AGATTAGAGGTGTTACAAGAGAGTAACAAACACAAAAAAGAAGGATGGGAGATAAAAAACGATAGGTGTTTGATAGGAAAGAAGGAGCAAATCACACTAGAGCATCCGCCAACCACCCACAGACCCAGATCTGACCACCTAAGGCCTACGGTACCTGGGCTGAATGGACACAGAATGCCCAGACAAAAGATGGAGATACCTGCACTCGATAGATCGATATATTATGATAAATAACCCTTGTGGAAGTCAAACTGACTCGTCTTTGCTTTACAACACACACACACACACACACACACACACACACACACACACACACACACACAAACACACACACACACACACACACACACCCACACACACACACACACACACACACACACACACACACGTAAATAATAAAAATAATATTAATAATAATAATAACGAAATATGATGGCACATTACTGTATCTTTCAAACATTTGCGACATACGGTGGCCAACTTGTACACAATTCTGTTCTCATTAGGGAGCCAATGCAATGTCCGTAAAAAGGGGTTTTGGTAAACAAACAACCAAACAAATAGACAAACAAACAAATAAAAAGCACCAAAAACAAATCCCGAAGACCTTGCCTTAACCACAACGCTACGAGCACTGGTGATGGTGTTGGTGGTAGTTATTGCACTCTTCAAAGTTTCTGTATTAATTCACGAAGGGCACACACGTTGTCTGCTTTCATTAAGCTGTCCTCGTGGTTTTATGCACCCAGCATAATTTAGCATAATTTGATCCTTTTTTAGCATAATTTCTGATTATTTTCCTATATCATTCTTTATTGAAAATTAACAGAATTGCATTATTTCTCATTTTTGGGCTCAGTTTGCATAATTTCAAAATTTATTTTTGTGCATAAAACCGCGGGAACAGATTAACTGTACATGCAGCAGTACCCCCTTCACACAGTGGGTCACAGTGGCTTCATGTATCACGACCTCAGTGCTTTCTTGTCGTATCTCCAGTTTGTTTTTAACATTTGACAATGTGACTTCTTCTTAAGCGCACTCTTTGTTACGATCTGTTTTCACTGTTTAAAAAAATGAAGATACGAAAAGAAAGCACTGGGGTCGCTATGTGAGTGCATGATGATGGACACCTTCAGGACAATTTTTTTTTTTCGAGTTCCGAGTTCGAGTTATTAATTCTTCCACACACATTTGATCTCCCATTGAAATATGTAGGCCTATTGTAAAGACAAAGGGAAAGCTTAAAATTACAAAGTTCTTTCTGCCCAGTACCGTACCCGCAGCTTTGAGGAATTCGACGCCAAATATTTTGAGTTTCACAACAACATTAAACTTGCCCAACTTTTTTCGAATGCAATTCTTTGAATATCATGATAACGACTCGGAATATTCTACAATTTTGACAGAGCTGATAGAGCATTTGATTTCTGATTTCATGGCCTTCTTCATGGTCACAATAACTCAAAACAACCTAAAATTTCAGAGAGAACTTTGTAATTCTAAGATAGCGAAATGTTAATAAATACCGGGTAATATGCTTTTTTTTATTGTAGGAGCGAGGTGTGGTGGTAAACTATCTCGACCTACCAACCATGAACAAAGGGGTCTGAAAAATAAAGATTGTAAGTCACCCGGAATCTTTTCGAGGTGGAAAAAAGCAACTAAAAAATAGAAATTATAAAAAAGACATAAAAGAGAAAAATATAATTAAAAAATACATTTAAAAAACAAGAACAACAAATAAAGGTGTACTTGTGCATGATCGGGTTCCAAGTATTATGCATGGTTATAACTCATAATATTTCAATCAAAATTTTAGAATACCCAACCAGCTGTTAACTGGCACGATCAGCAGGCAGACCCTTTCATGGATCCTGGAGAGGAGGGAGGAGCAGCTATGACATTGTGCCACATGCAGTGATGCCTATTCTGCAACCAAGTACATGTACAGTAAAGTAAATTCCATTTAAACGCTATATATGTTGTGTAGTAATCCAAGACGTTAGTAAGTCGTCATTCTAAGAACTCACACTGCTGCTGCTGCTGCTGCTGTTGCTGCTGCTGCTGCTGCTGCTGTTGCTGCTGCTGCTGCTGCTGCTGCTGCTGCTGCTACTACTACTACTACTACTACTACTACTACATTTGTTTTCTTCTCTTCATTTTTTAAAAAATCGTGCTTTTGTTTTTTGGTCAAATCGTTGACAGAAGAAAAATTGTGCTCCTTTTTCCGGGTTAAGTCATATCTGATGTAAAGTAAAGAAACAATACTCAAAATACATTTGTACCAGAATTTGTCGTGATCAATTTTGATTTCTTCAGTGATTCAAACTGATATAAAATGCAGCTTTCCCCTAGCACTTGTACATGTATGACTATTCTGTTCCCCCCAAATGACCGCGTTAGATTTGTAGGTATAACTTTCGACAGCGTCAAATAAATAACTTTCGACCGTTAAAGAGATATATTATGGAGACATAACTTTCGACCGTTAAAGAGATATATTATGGAGACATAACTTTCGACCGTCAAAGAGATATATTATGAAGACAGAACTTTCGTCTGAGTTAAAGATGGAGATAGAACTTTCGACTGTGCCAAAGATGAAGACAAAACTTTCGTCTGAGTTAAAGATGGAGAGAGAACTTTCGACTGTGTCAAAGATGGAGATAGAACTTTCGACTGTGTCAAAGATAGAGATAAAACTTTCGACTGTGCCAAAGGGACATATGGAGACAATTTTTGAACGCGTCAGTAAAAGACATATAAATATAATACTACGGAGAAATTACTTTCGACTGCGTCAATTGGATATAAATTATATTATATAGAGGCATGACTTTAGATATATATAATATGTAAAATAGATTTGAAAACATAACTTTCGACTGATTTAAAAAAAATTGAAGATTTTATGACTTTGACTCTGTCACCGAGATTTGAAGAGAATATTACTTTTCGACTGTATTAAAGAGAACGGAAGATATCATGATCTTGACTTTCGAGTTTGTCAAAGAGAATTGAAGATATTACGACCTCCACTAAGTCAAAGAGATTTGATTACACAACTTTCGACAGAGTCAAAGACAACTGAAGATAGTGTGTTGTGACTGACTTTGTCAAAGAGATTTAAAGACACAACTTTCGACTGCGTCAAAGAGATTTGAAGACATACTTTTCGACTGTGTCAAAGTCAAAGAGATTTAAAGACACAACTTTCGACTGCGTCAAAGTCAAAGAGATTTGAAGACATACCTTTCGACTGTGTCAAAGAGATTTAAAGACACAACTTTCGACTGTGTCAAGCAGATTTGGCTATGGCCAGGACAGCTGTCAACTATAAACTCATGATTGAGGCAGTAGAAATAAACCTGGCCCCGTGGTTTTATGCACAACAAAACCCCTCTAAAATGCAAACTGAGCCCAAAAATGTGAAGTTGTGCGATTTTGTTGATTTTAACAAAGAATGGTAAAGGAAAATAATCGGAGATTATGCAAAAGATATCAAATTTTGCTAAATTATGCGGGGTGCATAAAACCATGGGAACAGGTAAACTAGTCCATAGTATCATGAATACTTGAATTGGTCAAAGTTGTCACGTTTTTCTTAAACACGTTAGTAGTTGTAGTTAATGGTCAAACCAGCTTTCCGACCTGATGTGGTGTCGCTGGTCTGGTGGTTAGGCTGCCAAGCTTGTAGCCAAAAGACCATGGGTTCGATTCTCAGTATGTTAGTGTGTGAAGGAAACTCACACTCACTACACTGTATGCTTCCCAGGAAGCTGATAAAGTTTCGGATTATTCTGAAGTGTGTTGCGGTAAAAAAAACTAGTAGTTGTTGTAGACTGCGAAGAGCGTGCCGTAGAACTACTATAAGCAATTATGTATTGTTATCATTATTATAATAATTTATGATTTTGATTATGATTATTAGGCCTAATAC